CTCCCGTAAAATGAGGGGATGGACCTTCAGGACTTTTGTTGGAGTCAGAGGGGTCCCTCTGTGGTCAGCCTGCCCCTTCTCAGCCTCCCTGTGGTCTGGGAGGGCTCCGGTCGCACAGCAGGGGCCTGGCCTGGAGGCAGGGGAGGCTCCAAGCTGCTCTCTCTGCGGTGCCTTCCACGTTCTACCCACGGATGGTTCGTAGGTGGCACCAGCACCCCCGGGTGCCCACTCAGACCGGGGTGCCAGGCTGGGATGCAGCAGCCCGTCCTTGCTTCCCAGACGCTGCAGGCACACTGGGGAGGTCTGCGCGGGACGGGCTGGTGAGGGCTCTGCAGGCTCCATATGGCGCGTGTGAGCAGGGAGCCCCTCTTCCTTGAGGGCTCCCCCAGCTGGGGGCACTTCTTGAACGTTGGGAATGGGAAGGAGAACAGATGACCTGCTCGGAACAGTTTTTACAGAGAAAAGTGGACGGGGGACCAGGAGGAAGGGGGGTCACGTAGGGCAGGCTGGGGGGTGGGGGTGGGGAGAAAGCTCGACGGTGAGGCAGCTGGGCTGGCGGCCCTCCCGTCTCCTTCAGCGCTCGCCCTCCAGCGGACGAGGGGGGCTGGTGGCCACAGGGGCACCTGGCCTCGGCGGGAAGACCGTCGTTGGTGGAGCAGAGCCCAGCAGACAGCCGTCTGGTCTAGATTCTAGAGCTGCAGGACTCGGAGCCTGACTTCCTGAATAATTTGCACAGTCCCGTGGGTGAAGTTTTTCTATTAAGCCATCTCTGCTGCTAATAATTTAGCTGGAAGATATGTCAGATACGGAATTGGGGAAACCCATCTCAGGGGATAATGACATTGTGGAGCCATATCATTTCGATTGTAGGGAGCAATTTTAAGCCTGCTCTAATAGTTTAAGCTACTGGAGGGATCATTTTGAATGGAGAAAGTGGTTGAGGACTCTACGGGCAGCTGTAAAGTGCTTGGGTTGTGGAAAGTAATCATGTCACCCAATGGATCAGTGACAAGGACTCCCGATAGTGGCTGTCACACTAACAGCAGCCGAGGAGGGTCTCCAGCCAAGGGGTCACCCAGACCAAGGTCCAGCTCTTGCTACTTTCCAGTTCTTTGACCCCCGGTGAGTCACTGGCCTACTGAAGTGACTGGCTTTCATTCAGAAAGGCCCCAGCACGAGGCACCATGTGGCCAGGGCCGGCGGGGTGGACGCTGGGCTCTGTGGGATGTGGAAGGTCCACAGTTTGCAGGAATGTGAAATGTGGAGCATGGAGGGTGGAGAGGGGCTTGCTCTGCAGCGCTCTGTCCCCAGACCCACTGCCGGGCAGCGACAGCTAGGCAGGCAGGGCCGCTGGCTCGCAGAGGCTCATGGGAAGGTAGGCACCGCCTGCAGCCGGCCCAGGAAGCTTCAGGAACTGCAGCCGCCACTAGTTACGCCTCGGGGGCTCCGTAAGGTGATGGAGGCAGCACGCGGCCCCTCTTACGCCTGTGCCCACCCAGAAGGACGCTCTTTGCAGGACTTTGTCGCCATCCCTCTTCCTGGTGAATTAAGCCCACAGGCCCGTGTAGGGAAGGTGTGCTGTGCTCTCACCATTAGCAGTGTTTGGATCGAACGGTGAGTGTGTCGCACAAAACCCTGGAGCTGAACATCGAAGAAAGAAAACAGAAACAGAAAGGAAAAAGGATTCTTTGGATAGGCTTCATCCTTCGAGGTGATATGAACAAATGCAAATACATATTTAAAGGGACAGTGAGACAAGTGTAACACTCAGGGCGTCTTGAGCTCTCACACTCGGTGAGTTTTGACAGGTGGGTACCATAGACGGGGTGATGCTGGCCCTTCTTTGAAAACCGCGTGTGTCTTCCTTTGTAAAACGAAGTCTTAGTCCCTCAGCTGAGGGAGGCCCTTCCGGACCTGACCGTGAACCTCGCCACCGCTCCTTCCCAGTGCTCCTTCCTTCTTGTGACTTTGGCACAGTGGACAGATGTCTCCGGAGGGCCTCCCACGTGCAGATGGCCCTGTGGCCAGCAGCTCAGGGTGGGGCCCGGCGCCTCTGGCTCAGCCGGGAGCAGAGCCCTGATGCAGAGAGGGGTCCAGAGCAGAGGCTGAGGACAGGGAGCCAGGAATGTACGGGAGGGTTCTGAAGAGAGCTCAGGGGAGGGTGTGAAAGCAGTGAAGAGGGTGTCTCAGTGAGTAAAGCAGAGGTCGGCTCAGCAGTGTGAGATGACACAGAGCCTTCTGGAAGGGTGAAGACAGAATTCTGCCCTGTGCCTTTGGTTGTTGGGTGGGAGGTGCTCACTATTACCGCTCTGCCTGTGTCACCTTCTCCCGCTGTGGACGGACAGCACCACCTTCCACGAGGCAGCTCCGGGGCCCTCATGCGACAGAGTAATAAGCACATGGTTTACCCGTATTTCAAGCATGACAGCCTCACCTTGGCTTCTGCCTGCCTTCCTCCCAGGTCGGTGGGCAGCAGCTGTGTCTGGGTCATTTCGGGGCCTCCCCTCCTCCTGGGCCGGCACTGGAGAACCCCACTGTCATGGGAACAGGAGGCCACAGCCTGGGGGGGGGGGCAGGTTCCCCTTGTCCATGGCACTGGTTGTGGGTCCGGGGCCGTTGTGCTGTCAGCGTTGTTTACAGTGGAAAACTTCCGTTGTGACCGTTCTCGTCTCCCGGTGCCCAGGAGCGTGTGTGTCTCAGAGCTCGTGTGCCGGTTCATCTCAACGTTTTCCTCATGCCGTCCGTTTACCTGAAGTACAGGAGGCTTGCTTGGCACATGCAAGGTCCCGGGGCCTCAGCACAGATCACCCCGCCCCTGCACCTTTCCCTTTGTGTAGAATTTCCTGACAGTTAAGAGGGAAAAAAAAGCATTTGTTGTGTATTCCCTTCCTTCCCTCCTTTCTCCAACCGTCTGCCAGGCGCTCTCTTTCAGCGTGAAGTAAATCAATATTTACTTCTAAAGTCTTGGGGCACAGTACATTTTCCCATTTAAATGGAATGGAAACATACAGTCAAAGAAGAAAAAAAAAAGGCCTTGATTCACCATGGAAAAACAAATGAGGCCAAATGTGTTAAGAGTTTCCACTCAGGATAGGTCTGTGGCTTCTGGTGAATTCTTCCAGTCCAAATTAGCAGTTCCTTCTGGTCACAGCTTCGTGTGGGCCTCCCCAGAGATGCCTTTGCATCCTTCTTTCAGTGCAGTGTAATCCCTCTGTTGACACAGCCCTTCCCGCTCACAGGCCGGAGGGGGAGCCCTGGAAGCCACTTGGGTCAGTCCCGGGGGAGCACCGAGTCATGGTTGGGACAGACAGACGGGCAGGGAGGAGGCGGCCTGTCCATGCCAGACGCCAGCTGGGAGAGGAGTCAGAGGCACCGTGAGTGGGAGCTCACAGAGGCCACCTGCGTACACCTTCCCTTCCCGTCAGTCCTGGGGTCACTGCTCCTTCTGCCCGCCCTGCCTGGCACACATCCCCCCTTCTCCACCAGAGATGCCCCCCCGGCCACCCACCCTCCCGCCCCCCAGCTCTGCCCGCCCCTCTGTGGGAACGTCGCCGCTCTGCTCCTCTGTCTGCCCCCCCGGACCGTGGTTTTCCACTGCGCCTGTCACAGCATCTGGTCCCTGGTGGGTCAACACCTAGCAAATACTGAGAACGTGCGTGTGCCGCCCCTCCCGCTTGGCCCCGGGGAAGAGCTGTGCCTGGACATTGAGGCCCCTGTGCGCACGGCGCGCAGCCTGGTCCTGTGGGCTTGGTGGAGTGGAGGACTCACAAGTAATGGGCACGCACAGTACCTTTCACGCAGTAGGTGTTCACGAAAGTACCGTTAAAATGAATACCGCGGACTCAGAAGGGCAGTGGTGTGATTAACCACCCACTGTGCACATAGAATCTTCTTTATCTTTCCAGTAGTCTTATGAAGTGGGCATTAGTCCCTCTTACAGATGAGAAAACTGAGGGCTCTGGGCAGCTGTCTTGCCTCGCGGCTAACAGAGGTGAGCTGCTGCTTGAGCCCTGCTTCTTAGCGCAGGACAAATCGCCGTGTCCACCAAGGGATTCCTTTGACCTTGCCATTCGGGCCCCACCCCCTGCCTTGGAAAGAGTGCTCCTGTCTGACCTCCCTGCCCACATCCGCGGCCTCTCTCATTCCCTTACAGAACAATCCCAGTCCCTCCTTGTCTTCTAACCCTCTGTTACTTTCGCAGCTCGAGGCTCCCAGCTCTTCCTAAGCCTTCCCCATGTTCTCTCAATTATTTTTCTTTTCAAGATCAAAGACAGTTGTCATTTAAAACAAGCCAGAGCCCGCAGGGTCAGGGACGCTGAGCACCAGCACTCCTGGGATTGGCTTTATCTAGAGTCTGCCTGCTTGCGGCTACGGACGGTGGCCTGGCTGTAGAATTCAGGTCCCTTCCGCTGACAGATGTCCCCACAGTCTCTCCCGCCCGGCCCCGGGCAGGGGCCACCTCCGCGGGCCACCAGCTCCCGATGGCTAAGGCGCCTGTGTTGATGGACTGCCCCTGGGGGGAGTCAGTCTTGCAGGAACGTGTACTCTTTCCCAGTGGGAGACTGCTCTTCAGTACAGGGAGCTGAGCTCGCCCAGTGGTGGAAGGACAGAAAACCAAGGATAAACCTAGGCCCCTATCTCTGCACCAAATGGACCAGCTTCGAATTTCCAGGAGCCGCCCACCCAGCCCTCAGCACGGTTGCAGGAAACGGCTCGGACACTGCCTGCCAGCCCCGTACCCCTGGGAGGCGGCCTGGCCTCAAGAGAAGAGCTTGGACTTTGGGTTTCAGCTCGGGCTCCGCCATCCGCCGCCACCGGGGGGCCGCCGGCCGCGTGGCTCCGCCGCGCTGAGCCTCACTCTCCTTGTCCACAAAGCAGGGACGAGAGGGAGCCCAGGGCGCCGTGTGCGTGGGGCCGAGCCCCTGGAACGTACTAGACGCTCCGTAGGCAGCTCCTCCCGGAAGCAGCAGCCGTGTGACCTTTCTCTTGCCCTCACACAGGTGACGGACGAGGAGCCCAGCTCCAACCACACGGTCATGATCCAGGAGACCCTCCAGCAGGCCTCCGTGGAGCTGGCCCAGCAGCACCACCTGGTGGTGTCCTCCGACGACGTGGAGGGCATCGAGACAGTGACTGTGTACACTCAGGGCGGGGAGGCCTCGGAGTTCATCGTCTACGTGCAGGAGGCCGTGCAGCCCATGGAGGAGCAGGCCGCGGGGCCACAGGCCCAGGAGCTCTAGCGGATGCTGTGGGGCGGGCCCGCCAGGCTCTCTCCTCCACGGTCCCCACCCAGGCGGCCAGACGGGGCTGCCCTCGCCCTGCTTGGGGGGTGCAGGGCGACTGGCATCACCAGCAACGCAGGACACTGCCCCCAACACAGAACACATACACCCCTTACCCTGTCTCTTCTGCTTCCGGAAAGACTTTGCATCGACTTTCCACACAGCCCACACCGCATCGCCCCTTTGCTTCAGGATTCACACAGGGACCCGGTCCCCGTCAGCATCTGCCCTGAATCACACCCCCAGCCCCTTAGCCCCCGGGCAGGTGCCCAGCCTTCCTCTGGGGCCGCTCTGCGGCCTGATGAGAGGAAGCCGGCCAGCACGGAGAAAGTGACCTTACGGTTGGGAATCACCGCCCCCACCCAGGGAAAGAGGGGAGGGGGTCCTGGCTTTATCTACAAGGTCCTACTCCTCCATACCCCCAAGTGTCAAGGGCACTTGTTACCGTGTGCGGGAGCCACAGTGAAGGGCCTCCTGTTCCCGTGACAGATGGGGTCTTAGCTTACGTCTTGGAATTTTCTTTTTAAAAAAAAAAAAAAATGCACTTTTTCCTATTCACCGCCCGTTCTATGAGATGTGGTGGGTAGAATAAAAACGTTCTCGGCCTGAGGCCTCCAGTGTCTCCGTTGGCTTGTATGGTCCGTGTTTCCCCTTCCCTGCACCAGAGTCTTGGGTTTGGGCGCCACCCGGAACCACCCCGTCCCAGGTCCGGAGTCCTCAGCTCCTAGGTGAGGATGCCCCTCTTTCCTCTAAAGCATATTTACATCGGCTTTGGGGCTACGGCTGGAGGTGAATGGTCTTGCCTTTTATATCCCGGCACCTGGCCCTCGATTTGCTGCCGCAGAGATATTTCACGCCCCTCCTGTCCACCTTCTGCTTCGGGAGGGCGGCCAACGGACAGGAGGTGTCGTGTCTGCTCGTGGAGGTGTGAGCCGGGAGCCGCGATAAGCCCCGTAACTTCCTGAGCCTCTGCTCTGTGCACAGCACGGTAGGGGGCATCGGGTGGGGCCTCCCGTGGCCTGCCCAGTCCTGGGGTTCTTGACATCACACCCGCCCTCCGGTTCACTGAGGCCGACGTTTGCTTCCCCTGAGAATCCTTTACACGAAGCCTTCTGCATATGGAAGCAGATGTACCCACACGAAGTGGTAGTTGCTCTGGTTGAAGAGGGTGGAGTCCACTGCCCCGCACACTTGGCCTTCAGTGTTGGGGCCCGGTCATCCCACCCCAGCAAGGCCCTACGGTGTCCCTTGGGAGAGGTGTAAAGCTGCTGCTCTAAGCCCAGGAGGAAAGGGACCGCTTGCCCTAAGCAAGGAAGGGAGTTCAGAGGAAGACACTCCCCGCTCAGGATGAGTTGGGGACAGCTGCCGGTGGAGGAGGCCCGTGCTCAGCGCCTTGCAAGCTAGATAGAGGGAAGGGCAACAGAAGAAAAGAGTCACAGTGGAGTCACGCCCAAGATGAGACAGCGTGAGGGAGGAACAGTGATCTTGGGCAGTCCATCTGGCTGATGGGTGGCTCTAAGGGGAAAGGCAGAAAGATCCACCAGAAGCCAGAACCCAGAAGACCCTGGGATGAGACATGATGGATATTGATTTATTTAGTAAACCACGGGACATGGTAGCCGTGGGTAGCCCCAGGGTGTGAAGGGCAGAGCGGCACTCCAGAAAGGGTGATGTTGTCCCGACATCAGGGTGGGCTGTGTTGAGAGACTTGAGCATCCAGAGTGGAGGCAGAGCCCCTGGGCTCAAGCCCAGCTCCATCACTTCCTATCTGGGTGACCCTGACACATTTCTGTGCCTGGCTGAGTTTCAGTTTACTCTGCTTTGAAATGGGTTTCAGGATAATTGCTAACTGCTAAGATTGCTAAAGGGATTAAATGGGCACTGGCCTGGGAGGCATTCACAGAGTACCTGGCCCGTCCCCTGCAAGTAAGATTTGTATTGTTAGGCCTGGGGACCAGACCTCAGCGTCCCCCAGACTCTACCGTCTAGCGGGAGAGACGGGACAGGAACGCACAACGGGAAAAGACTCACCACACGTGCTCAGTGCTCCGAGTCAGGCCAGGGGAGGAGCCTGCCATCCTTGGACCAGAACCGGCGGGGACGCGAGATGCTGAGGAGCAGGCACCCAGCCGTTGAGCAGGGGGCTCTCAACCGCCTGCATGACACTCCACAGAGCTCAGAGTCTGGGCAACTTGAGGGCGGGGTCAGTCCTGCATGCTGGTCACCTCGAAAGTTGGATCTGATTCTGAGATGTGCGTCCAACGTGGGCCTTCTTTGCATGTTCGTGAAAAAAATCTTGCTCTAATTTGCAAACCCTCCTGCGAAGAGACGCCTGTCCTAGCTGGTGCTCAGCGAGAGTGTGCCCCGTGCCTGCTCGGTCATCTGGAGCCCTTGGGCACCAATAAATACAGATTTGAGGTACAAGTGGCTTAATGTCATGAGGGCCTTGTGCCTGGGCAGGGAGACAGGCTTTGGTCTGGGTGCGATTCCATGTTGATGTGTTGTTTTGAGAGTATCATGTCATCCATAAAATGGGGGAAATCATTTGCCCCCGTTTGTCTGGTTTGTTTCAAGGATTTACCATGATCGCATAGGTCAAAGCGCCCAGAACGCCGTATTGCACGTAGTAGGAACACGGCAAATATTTACTCCCCGCTGTTCACGGTGGGTTCCTAGGAGAGTCCCGTAGCAGCTGGACAGGGTCGCCTCGGGTCCTCGCCTGTGAGTGGAGCTGAGATCCACGTGTAGTCTGGTCGCAGAACCCCATCATCAGCCTTGCCCCCGCTCCTGGGTCTGTCACAGTGCCTGGCACTCATTCAGTCACACGCTGAGTCAGCAGAGGCCCGTCAGCTACCTCCTGTGGCCAGGCTGTGATCTGGGAACACAGCTCGGCAGTGGCGCATCCCAGGCCTCAAGGACTCGGCACTGGGTCAGAGGGTGGAAGAGTGAGCAGGCGACGGGGAGCCCAAGTGGAGGGGGCCATGGAAGACATGGCCATCACGTCCCCCGAGCCTGGGCCAGGCAGGGAGGGAGCCCACCTAGGAGATGAGAAGTACTAGAGGACCCAGCGTGGACCAGCCCGGCCAAGCCCTGCGCTGCCCACCAGCATCCTGCTAGGTCTGTGGCTGGGCCCTAGTTTATGTTCATCTAACCGAGCAGGACACAGGTCAGGAGGGTAAGAAACTTACCCAAAGTCGACAGCTAGTGAGTGGCAAGGCCAGGATTGGAAAGTGGGCTGTCTGACTTGGAAATGCGCCCTCCGGCCATTTCCCGGGGTTGCAGCTGGAGCCTTGGGGGCCTGTGGCCTCTGGCTGGTTGAGATGGCTCCAGAGGAAGGAGGCAGGGACCCCTGAGTGAGGTTAGGACCTTGCTAGGCCCGGAAGGGAGGGAGGGGGTGGGGAGAGGAAAGGACCCGTGGGGAGAAGGAAGCAGAGAGTTTTGCTGTTTAATGCGTTCACACAGAATTCTTTTGTACCCACAGACCACCTCCCTCGGTGGGAGTCCCGAAATTATCCAGCCCTTGGCTCTCCCCTTACAGGGCTGTTCCTGGGGAGGCTTTGCTCAGTGCAAATGTTGGGCAGCAGACGGTTAATTTTGCATCCCTCCCTCCGCCACCGAATTACTGCATACGCAGACAGTGGGTAACACCCCTCTGCGGCTGCTTGGTGGGGCTGGGCCCTCGGCCGGATCTGCGAAGGCCTTTCCTGGGGAACGAATGCTGAGCTTGGGGTGCGTCTGAGCCACGTGGTATGTTCAAGCGATGGGTTCCTTCTTTCTGATTATTCCCCCCTTGACTGCCGACTTGGATCCTTTTCCATCCACATTGTATTTTGTGCCAAGAGAAGTGAAAACTTGTGCCGGGGAGACTCAGTGGCCTCCTGCCTTCCTGTGACACTGTGGTGGGGACCAGGTCCCGCACTAGGCACTCTGCCCTCCATAGCTGTGTACGGTGTCTCCATCCACCTATATCTCTATGAGACTGAACTGCTGTGCCAGCCTCGTGGATGTTATTAATTCCCACAGCAAGGCGGGAAAGGTGCTATCGTTAGAGTTTTACCGATGGAGAATATGAGCACAGACAGGTTAAGAAACTTGCTGAAGGCCACATAGGAAGTAGCAGAGCCAGAATTTGAACTCCAGCAAGATCAGCACCCATAACCAAAGGACTCTCAGCCAACACTTCTGTCCCTTTAGCAGCTGAGAAAACAGAGGCTCACTGAGGAACCTACGTTGGGTGACATTTGAGGCCAGAAAGTGCTGTGTGGGACTTGAGTCCAGTGGGGGTGTCCCATTCCATCAGCTGCTCCCCAGTGCCATGCCACCTCCCCTGTTATCTTCTAACCCTGACACCAGACAGGCAGAGCAAGGACACAGAGTGTGGGCAAGGTCAAATTTGGGGAGCGGGGAGGGGAAGGGGATTTAGAGACAAGAGAGCAGGGACCCCTCCATGGAGCCCAGGAGCCATGTAGCTGTGAGGCGGTAGCTTGTGTGAGCAGGAGCCAGCAGAAGACAGGAGCCCCAGGGCCACCCAGGGTCAGACAGGAGTCAGGATGGGGACCAGCCAAGGGGGCCTGTGACGTTCGGCTGGCCTGGCTCTCAGACCCCTGGCTCTGTAGCCCCCCGGGCGCCCCTCCAGCCAGTCTTCTCCCCCAGGAGCCCTAATGCCAGCCAACATCGGGGCAGGCTCTCCCTCTGCGGTGGGGACTCGCCCCCAGGCTCCCATGTGTCACCGTAGGGCAGGCTTTTGAATGAGCAGCAGAATTCCAGGCAGGGAAGACATGCCGGGCCCTGACTCCACTGCTTAGAGCTTGTGTAACTTTGGACAGTTTGGTCCCCTCCCCGCAGCGCTGATAGGGATAGAGAGCGATGGCCACGAGGCTTCAGCAGCTTCCTGTGACAAGACCAGACCCTGCCTCTGTGCACTTAGCACAGCGCTGGGAGGCGGGGGTGTCCTGGCCCATCCTGGGGACGAAGAGGCCTCGGGGGATGTATAAAGTAGCCCCAGAGCTCGCGAGATGAACAGAAACGACTTTGGTGCTGTGCTTAGCACGGTGTCTCGGGTGGAAGGGTGGCTCTGGCCCCTCGAGAGTGAGCTCGATGATGAGGCGTGGCCCCCCAATGTGGCCCCACCACGTAGGCCGGCTGCAGCAGTCTGAGCCACCTTGCTTGCTCTGAGTGTCACATTTTTTGAGGAGATGGCGACTCATTTTATGACCTGTATCTACAGGGCTAATTTAGCAAATGAACTTCTCAGGTAGTAAGGATTTAAAATTTGTTAGCTGGTGTCACTGATGGTTTTCCCTTGTTCTACGGCTCCGTGTTTGTTTGTTTGTTTTTAATGTTTTATCTATTCCTAGGAGAGAGAGAGACAGACAGACAGCGTGAGCAGGGGAGGGTCAGAGAGAGAGGGAGTCACAGACTGAAACAGGCTCCAGGCTCTGAGCTGGCAGTCAGCACAGAGCCCGACACGGGGCTCGAACCCACGAACCGCGAGATCATGACCTAAGCGAAAGTCGGATGCTCAACCGACTAAGCCACCCAGGCGCCCCAATGGCTCCGTGTTTTAAGGCTGGAAGGAAAAAAACAACTGTTTGATTACAAACCCATCTCCCCCGGCCCCTT